CCACAAGGTCGCTATTTATTCCCACCGTGCATATCTTTGTATTTAATTTGTCCTTACACTAGTCTTCTATTTTGAATGTATTTATTACTAGACCAGTAAACTATCCTTGATATTTCTGATTGAGATGATTTGTTACCAGCCTATTTCTTTACCTCTAGAACAAATATATTACTATTTTCTTATTTAATTCTAGTAAACAAGACTTTGGCGACGAGAGGAAATATTTGGCTAGACTATTTTTTCCACCTGGAATCTTCTTTAATGCAAGGAGCTAGTGTTCAAAAATCTTTTGTCAGTTGGCATTCATATGAGGCTGGTTTTTTATCGCCTGTTTTCTTAAACTTTCTTATGAACGCCCTTTCATATCACGGCAACTTTCAGAACTTGCAAGGCCTTTGTTAAGCTACGAGCTCTTCCTCTTTATATCGTCTCACTAACTATAAACTCATCGTCCTCTCTTAGCCTATATCATGTATTCGAGTACAACATAACTCCAGATCTTTTTTAGTGTTTTTTCCTCTTGTTGCTCTTTACTGTTCTTTACTCTAGGTGGAAGCCGTGCTGATTAGCAAAAACCAAGCCGAAGTGGACTACGGCGAGATACCCTCTGAATTCCTTGACACTTTAATGGACACGTTGATGGAAGATCCGGTAATGTTACCTGGCTCCAGAGCCATCATGGACAAGGCGATGATAATGCGCCACTTGCTCAATTCGGAGACAGACCCATTCAATAGGCAGCCCTTGCAAGAAGGGGACCTCATTCCATGTAAAATTGTCTTGGATATTTTTTCGTGCTTATATTCTTTTATATTTACCTTTTTGGCCAAGCCTCCCTAATCCCACTATCTTATATACCAATATATAAAATTTTTAGCTTTACGGAGTATAGTTAAATTACTCTTAAAGAGAAGTTTATCTGTTAAGGGATAGTGATCCACAAATTAAAAACATTTTTATGCTTAGGACTGCCACATGTATCTGGTAGGATAGGTTGAAAATGTTATAACTCTAGTTCTCTGATTCTTAATGTGATCACAGGCGCTACGGAAACAATCCTTAGATTAGAGAGTTCATTTAGTGAATGAATATATTCATTAATAGCAGTCTTTGGGAACTGGCAATCGGAGTTAAGCCTAAATCTGGTGGTTTCCGTTTCCTTCAAGCTAAGTAAACATGTTATTTTGCCTGCTGTATGTCTACTATTGCTATCCATTGTTTATTAGCATCAGCTCTCTGAACACCCTCATTTATCTCTGTTGATTTTTATGGAAATTCTCTATGCATATATTTTCATTATCTAAATCTTGCTTCTACTTGAACTAAATTGTTTAAGTATCCTCATTTTAAGTTATTGTCAGTTCAACTCATTTGGGAGAATGGCATCTTGTTTACATCCGATCTCCACTTTGTCCCTATATCATTCGCTTCATTGTAGTCTTGTCTAGTTAAGCATGTCGTAGCAAATATCCCTTTGCTTTATCGACAATCCTACCAAGAAATATAATATGGGAAAATGCTTGGCCTTCCTTGAAATTCGCATCTGCCCTCTGACCCAAGGGCACTCCTGGCATTGTAGAGTAGTGGTTAACTAGGCAATATTAAATTCTGCACTGTCATTGTTTGACTCCCACTGGGGGTGTTGATAGGACCTATGCGAGATCGAAACTGCAGTCCACTCCCGCCTGGATAAGGACACCCTTTGGAAAAGCAAGAATATGTGAAATTCAATGAAAGCATCAGCTCTACTCATATCATTGGGGAAAAATTCAACTACCAATTATTCATCACCTTCAGCGAAATAGTGTGAATACATCTCATATAACTCACTTACTGGTAGTCTCGAAACCCTATTTATTAAAAAAATATTTTAATTCACCACCTCTGTGTGATTATTTTGCTTAATTTTTATGGATATTTATTACACTTCGCATTTTCTACAAATCTCTTCTCATCTATAATTAAGATGCAATTTATTCCTAGCCTACGCCTCCGTAACATACCAAGCATCATTAACATAGGATGAAAAAGCATTTTTATGGAACCTGGCAGAATCATGCCTTTGTCTTGACAGCATGTCTTTACGCACGTTTACTTCGATTTTATAACAAAAGGGGCTCAATCATTGCATTAGTCTTTATCATAAAAGCTTCATTAAATATTTGCTCCATTTTTAAAAATTGTTATTCGAACCCACAAGTGCCAGAATTGAAAACACGTATTGAGGCTTGGAAACGAGAGAAGGAGGCCGGATGGAGGGCTGAACGTGCCGATCGAAAGCAGACGGATTGAGCCATTTCTACGCTAATTGGGAATATAATTACTTTCCTTTATTGCCAAATGTCCATACTTTCTCATATATCATAATCTTTAGTGATACTAACTTCTCTCTTTATCGAGGATCGTCACGAATTTTACACTCACATCCTCCTATATAAACTAACGCTCAACTCTGACTCGCCACTAACCTATACCTCATCTAAATTTACTAAGGCTAAAGCTTCAAGTATGATACAAGCTTTCATAAAGCAAATGAACTTCTCTAGATCTTTTGGGTGACTATGCGTTGAATGTATTTAAGTGCTTGATTTTTTTAAGATTATTTTTCTGTATTTGCCTTGTTTGGCGACTTCGTTCTACGCGTCTTTTTACGATCTAATTAGAGAGTCTTAACTGATGTGTGTGTTGCTATCATGATCGCTTCTTTTTTATTTACGGTCTGGCCTCAGCTAATGTATGACTGTGCCGCGTTACGTTGCAAGCGTAAGTTACCAGAAGAAGCGTTGAGGAAGCACATTGCATTTTCAGGACTGGTGATTCCACCAATTTCCACAATGAATTGTCTTTCTTTTTCACACTCATCTCATCCCTCTTTTTCATTCTTTTTGTTCGCAAGAATCAACCCCTATGTGCATTGTGAGTTTTGCTCCTATTATTCATAGAGGATTATTTTGTCGTGGTATTTAGGATCCAGCCCTCTATTTCTATCTTGATCTCTTTTCCGTAATCTAGGTCTTGATTTTATAAATAATTTGACTATATAATGTTTATGCACATGCTCTTTCATGTTTGGAAATAATTATGTAGATTTTCTTGTCTACTTTCATGGCTATACCAACTGCGTACTTGATACCTACTAAGTATGCTTATTTTTAGAACTGCTAGCTTGGTGCCTTCCTGCGTCGGTCTTTATTTTTACTTCTCTCCGCTTATCTGCGAAAATTTCTCCTTACTTTCATCTAGCTTTATTATTCCTGTTAGGAATTTTTCTTTTTAGTATTATTGCTTTCTATTCTTATTATAGTCAGTTTGGGGACACCACATTACCCAATAGCACCAAGTCTTTTTCAGTTATATGCTTGGGCTAATTTTCACCCAATTCTAACTCTTTGTTTCATCTACTTTTTCTTATTTCATACATTTGCTTACAAATCACAGGTCACTTACATTAGTATGTTAACTTTGTCAACATACTCTCTCGCTTCTCGGCAGGCTTATTTTTTCCCCTATCTCTATTTTAATAATTATTTGTGTACACACACACACTCTTAGAGGCATACATATGGAATATTTTGGCTTGCCCCTTACTGTAATACTTTCAATAACCTTAACATCTTCCCTTCTACCTACCATGACGGCCTCGCAAACACTCCATTAAACCCATGGGCAGGATGTATCCAACAACTTTCTGTTGTCCACCCAATTATTTAAATAAAAATAATCCGCCCATTTGTTTATGAATCTAAGCTCGTACGAATCTCTTAAAGAAGAGGTTACATTTTCACTAGGTATTGAAAGACGTTCTTAATGATATTCTGGTGGAAGTTGTCAACATAACGGAAGAGGCAAGGCGGGAGATGGAACTAGATCCTGACACGTCAAG